GTCGCGACTCCCGTTACTTCTTGTCCATCCATCAACACAGTTTATGGCACGACACACACACACACACACACACACACGAACGTCTTGCTCCAGAACAACCCCTCCCTCTCCTAATCAAGTTCTTCCCTCCCCCTAACCACCTTAACCACCCTAACCACCTTAACCACCTTAACCACCACTACCTGAATCGCATGGGCCTTAACGGTGGTCATGGTGGATAACACCTCATCCGCCACCGCATTGGCAGTAGCCAGCTCAGACTGAACCTTCTTACTCAATTTGCTGTAAAACTCGCCGTACACCTGCAGTACAAGCACAAGCCAGGATGCGTATACGACATGCCAGAAGATTAATGGCACGCGTGCGCGTCTGTATGTGTGTAAGGGAGAAAACGTGTATGTGTGTGCCTGTATACGAGCGTGTGCGTATCAGCACGGCAAAACACACCACGCGTCGAGGTGTACATCCCGGCGGGGAGAGAGGGGAAATGATGCGGACACTAACACACGGGGAGGACATGTTCCCCCCGCCCAAACCCGGCAGCCCCCACCCCTCAGCCCTCATCACCCCCACGTTCAATTAGTTAGCGGTCAGTAGATGAGGTACAACGGCGCAACGACCCTAACCAACTAACCGCCTCCATCAACGTCGTCCACTGACACGACACCTAGTCATCCGACGACTGATGAGGTGTCGTTAGTTCAAAGACGTTTACCTCACCCCCTAAATTCCGTAAACTACTCCCATTTGCCTTTTAATGAGTTTTTTATTTTTTACTTTTTAAAGTGCGAGTGGATGATTGGGTGAGTGGCTGGAGGTTTCCATGGATACATAAAGGATAAATTGAGGCCAGAATAATCTCAGGTTGTTTTCGTTCCTGATGCCGTACCTGACTCATGGTAAGTACGACAGGTACGAGAATGAATGTCACGACGGTGAGGCGCCAGGAGGCAGCAAACATAAAGAACAGCACCATGCCCGCCTTGAAGGAGGGATGGAGGGGAAGCGGGGGGAAGGGGGGAGGGGGGGTGAGACAAACCACTGGCGAATGCAGAAGATACCGGAGGTAGGTAGACGGATATAGTCCAACCACGGGAAGGGCGGGAAGGGGGGGAGGGTACGGGAAAAACCCCAAATCACTAACACAACCGACGTACAACGACCGCCTTGCCAAGTCCAAGTGGAGCAGAGGGGGGTGCGGTTTCAAAATATGGGGGGAGCGGGTTTGCGAGTTCGGGTGCAGGTAGTGAAAACCCCAAACCGGAATGGGACGCAGGGCCGCTGAGATCTTGCCTGTAGGCGTGGGCGTTCTGGGTGACGGCACCCGAAACAAACATACATACATACATACATACAAACAAGGAGGTCCCAATACAAGGACAATACGACCCATACACACACACGCGTACCTGTGTAGCGCTTCTCAGCATCACATTCATGTTGAGCCCAACCTGCATGTACGGCAATGTACGGCAGTAAGGTCGTGACTCTCCATGCAGACGCAAAGTTACGTGCTCGTAATAACCGCCATACCCGACACAGCCGGCCCCACACCGCATGCCAACCAACCTACCCACCTACATGCCTCCCTCCCTCCCTCCCTACCTACCCCCCTACCCCCCTACCTACCTACCCCCCTACCCCCCTACCCACCTACCTACCTA